TCCAAAATAAGTAATCGCTCTACAACGCCGATGGCTTGGCCATGTATTGCGTATGCCTGCCCATCAACTACCTTTCCCCGCTCTCCTTGAATGGGCCGGGCAAGGCTGGAAGAAACTTCGCGGCTGTCAAACCATGACATGACGTAGATAGATGAAGAGGCTAGTTTTAGCTTTCGCTTCGGTTGGTGCAGCCCACCTTCCCGGTTGGAGCCCAAAGGATGAGGATTGTCTCTGGTTAAAGACGCTAACAGAAATGGACCAGAATTTGAATACATTTACCTCGTGGGGAATTAATCATCTCCCAAGGAGTGAAACCCACACCCAAGACCTTTAACAGGTCCCGAATGAGCTAATCCCAAAAATTCGCCGTATAGAATTGTTATTCTTGTTAGCTGAACCCACTGTAGTTGTTTGGCCTCAATTTCATTCCGTCTTGTACCCCATTCCCTGCTATTAATTTTGCTTCGTTGGCACCATGTTTGTTCGCAAGGATATCTATATATATCGACTCAGTCACGTTTTCTGTATAGTAACTGGACCCACCACGATTGCAGGTTGTTTAGCATAAACTAAGATAGCATGCAGATTGGGTTAGGGACATAAAGTACACATACGTGAAGGCAAATATCCAATGCGCAGCTTGGCTTTACTGTAGTAGTGGCTGAAGTTAATCCGGAAGTGTTGGAGCAGATGGGTCTTTGACATGCTGATAATAGGACTGATCTCAAACTAGGTTTATGTGAGTACTCTTAAAGCAACCGTAACGCGAACCATCCATTAGAAGCTTGACTGAGTGTATGACACATACGGAGTGCAATTTCTCTGCTCACTTGGATCACATAATCGCCCGTTTCGGTCGTGACTGCGTCCATGTAGTCCATTTAACAGGATGTATTAATCTCACGTGAATGTCGTGCCTTTTTCATCAAGGGCTAGGTTAAAGAAGGTCGTTTGGTTCAATGCATTTCATTTCGTAGTCCTAATTGGAATTAGTGTCCGTTGCTGACGTACAGATGCAGGCCGCAATTTACTAACCGAAATAGTGAAATAGGTCAGTGATAAGCGAGTTCGTTTCTGTGGCCAAGACCAGTTGGGCGCGCAGGCATGAATCACGTAATGGAATGCGTGTGGGAACGCCTACAACAATCTGTGGTGGGATTATTCAACTTGTTCCCGATCTGCACAGCGAATGACATAGAGACGTATTAACCGGTTTACTTATAAGCCAACACATCTTGGTTCTTTCAGCTTTTGTTTGTTGTCCCACCGAGATATCGATTGACGTACATTCAGATAGTTACGACGTTGATAGCCGTGGAAGCATTTTTGATAACACATCTTAGTGTGATGAACAGCAGACGGGGAAAGCCCCATGGTCACGAGGACTTGTACATATGACGGAATAGAGTTCACGTATTACCTGAAAAGTCATGGCAGAAATGAGCCAGTCAGGCATACAGAGAGCGTCGTACCAGTCAGTCGGTTGTGGGTGCTACCCTAATTGAGCTATGCGCGAAATCAATTTAACAAGTACGAGTAAACTAATGTACACTGCGTTGGGGCATTTCTTGTATCCAATTTTCTAGTTTTATTTATTGAACGGTTTTCGAGTTGGTAATTATGTACATATGATTGTCGCTATCAGAAGGTCATGTGATTCAAGTTGTTAGGGGTGGGGGGGGGAGTAAATGCATTATGAGGGGAATGGCGATTACCATTTTATCCTCTCTAGGTTCTGTACTTGTAATACACAATATGGAGGCAAAGTTGCTAAGGTCTGGCTGAGAGCTTGCTTGGTGCAAGGAAGCCTTGCTATCGCCTAACCTCGAGAGGCCTTATGTGGTTCGCCATTCCAAAGTCCCCTGGCTTAGGTTTCCAACAGGGAATAGCAGGTCTATCCGACTATGGAGTCCATCCCGTCTGCTGTTCATCACTCAAAAAATCCAATGCCATTATAAATATTCTATTCCGGGCTTATGAAAGAAGGTGTCCGCACAGACACCACAATTGTTGTGCACTCAAAATTTGTCTTTGTCTTGGTGGCCAACCTATCTTCTGAGTACTATCGAGCGTAATCTTATCTTACCCTCATCCTGATTATGTAAGCAGAAGAATTCACTTCTACTGAACCAACAATACAAATCAAGAACTAAACTGGCAATCACCAATGATTGAATAAAGAAAGAGGAACGGAAAAGCTGGGAGAACTTTCAAACTTATTCGATTCCGCCAGCGGTACATATGCCTTGGCCCAATGAACCCGAGATTTCTTTGATCGAACGCAAATGTACTCTCCATGTGACGACAATCGAGCAGCTCATATGGTCGGAGCATTTTATGTATACCCTATTCCCAGGGGCAAAGTAGCACGCTATCTGACGCGTTACCAGGTCGCGGATAGAGGAACTACCTCCAAGTTGACAGTAAACCCGTGAACAGATGAATAGTGGTTGTGCGCGTGGAAGTTGGTAAACATCCGCTCTATAAATGTTGATCGTCTCGATCTTCAAGAATGGATCACGCAACGACTGCGCTAACCACCGTGGGATTAGTTTAGTTCCGGTAATCACAAAGTGTTGACTTCTGTGATACTTCGCCGCTTGACACCCTTAAGGGAGAAGAATATCCGCGAACAACAAGCCGGATTCCGACCAGGTCGCGGGTGCGTCGACCAAATCTTCACTCTGCGTCAAGTCCTCGAACTGCGTCACACACATCGTCGACCAAAAATCGCAGTTTTCCTTGACCTAAAAGGAGCCTTCGATTCAGTTGACCGTGAAGCTCTTCTGGGGTCNAGTATGTAAACCTATTGCGGTCGTTGTATCTGCATACTTCTGGTAGCGTAAGGGTTCACGGTGGGGTAAGTAGATCGTTCGAAACCAGGAGCGGTGTCCGTCATGGGTGCCCTATTTCGCCATTTCTGTTCAATTTCGTCGTAGACGAAGTTCTGGAGAACGCACTTACTGGTCTCCAGAACATAGGTATTGAATGGGCAGCTGGAGAAAAGCTGTGCGAGTTAGAGTACGCCAATGACATCGTA